TGGGGTGTGAAAGTGAATTTGTGTTGTTTTTTTTGTGTGTGGGGGGGGGGGGGGGGGGGGGGGCGGGGGGGGCATGTGTGTGTGGAAGTCTAATGGCCTTCCTCTCTACCCCAAATAAAGTAGAAAGTAACATTGTGGCCAAGCCAAGACTGGAAAGTTCATTCAAATCCATGAGCCAAGTATAACTTCTCCAAACAAACAAATTTTCTTAGCTGTAAACCACTACCTACATTGCACCTTCATTTCTTTTAAGAGCAACTTCCTATCCAGTTGCAATTTAAAAACCTGCAGCAGGCCCAAGGAAACGAGCAGGAATTCAGCCTTGCAATCAATGGAATCAGGACCTCACTTCCAAAAAAATCCTTGTGGCTTTAAGGTTACTAAGAGGTCATCTTGATCAGAAGCCTTTAATAAAAAAATCCATAACAAGTATGGTAGGACAGGACAGCTCTTCCTGATCGCCAAAAGATACTATCTGCTGAGCATACACCTTTTGAATAGCTTGGTACCCAACATTTCCAAAACGAGAGAGTACAATGATTTCTGCACTCTTCAGACAATTTATAGTAGTTTTATCTTTACATAATAGAAGAGCAACTCAGCTGTCATTATCATTAGGATAGCTATATAACTAGGGGAAAATCCTTAATAAACAATTAACAAATCACTAAGAAAAAGGTTTTTTCTTTTTAGAAGTTAGATGTAAAATAAGAAAGAAAAAAAAACAAAACAAAAGACAGACTTACTGGTTATCATTGCTCCAGTTATAGAACCCAGAAATCCAATGCTGACCACAATGACAGATATCAGCCTCCCCTGCCTATGCCTCTGCAGCATCACAAACATTAATACTCCCACAGCACCATGGACAAAGAGAGAGGAGAAGAGAGCCCAGAGGAAAACCCAGTACCACATTTCTGGAAGAAAGCAGTGAAATAAAGGGTTAATATTTCTGAGACAAGAAAAAGAAAGAGACTTTAAAACATTACATACAATCAACAGTAAGAGAAAAGCAATACTGATTTCCACCTTAAAAGGAATCAATGTGACAACATCAGCATGTGCTCAAGACACTTTCCCCCTTTTAGCAGTGTATCATAAAGGAATAACTCTTATGCTTTTTATAATTTTTTGATCATTCTGGCACAATTCTTAATTCAGATGTATTATTACAAGAACTCCGTCATTCTTTTAATAGCTTCTTTAAACAACTTTAAACAACGTTAATTGCAGTATTTTACTAGGTATCGTAACTACTCCTGCAGAATGAAATATTCACTGAAACAAAGACTGAACGAGGAAAGAGTCAAGAATTGTTTTGGGTTTTTTTTGTTGTTGTTGTTGTTGTTTTTTAAAAAAAGAAGAGACAGCATCAGGTAACATCAAATGGGAAAACTGAGATTAAAGACTTCAGCTTATCTACCCAGGAGCTGTAATAGAATGTTCCATCGAATTAGCTTCAAAGGCACAAATAAAAACACTACAATTTTAAAAAGAAATTTTAACACATCTAACCCCTTCCTTCTAATTGCTTAGCACAAAACTTCATAGAGACATGCAGACACTATTATTTAAATTACTAAGCAAGGACAAGAGATCATGAGAACGTGTGGAGTACAAACATTTCTCTAAAGAATGGCAGACGTGATCATTACCTTCAAAGAAGAGAGCAGAAACCATCAATGAAGCTACATAAGAATTAAAGAACCTTTCTCACTTGGTGGCAATTTTCTAAAAACATTTACTATAACTCAAAAGGGTAGGGAAATGCAAAAGAGATTTTTTTTATTTTTTTTTTTTAAACACATCAACTACAGTTGGTATATATCATCACAGAATTCAGCAAGTTGGGGCACATTTTCCCAATTGACATAATCTCACAAAACTGTCATCAATTCAGAGTTTTTGCTGCAGTTCCCCCTCAAAAAACCAACACAGCTTCCTTACAACAGCAGGATACTTATTGTTTGAGGTGAGCCTGTATTATTGTAGCTTGACACACATCAGTCATTTGAGCAGAAATATGACCCAATTAGCTAACTTAAAAAATACTTAGCAGCTCAAAACACCTTCTGAAAAGATTCTGAGAAAAAATGGTTGCCACACAATAACCAGTGTCCTTTGAGTTCAAAGTCAATATAGTATGTATATCCATAGCACAAATGCAGAGTTTAAGCTTTTTCATTTAGCAGTACTTTGAGAGTAGACTCAACCCTTCCCCTTTCACACAGGCATAAAAGGCAAAACTATGTCACAGGACTTACAAGTCCTCTAAATTATGGTCACCAAAAGGCTCTCTTAAGAGAGCAGCAAGGGTGGTTAATCTACATTCAATTAATACTTCAGCTGTAGCTCAAGGTGTAACTTTTCTGAATGCTTGGATATATGCACACATATATTTAGGGTGGCTCCAATCAGCTCTCCTCAGATCCTCCATCCCTTTACACCTTGCCCCAAGCTGGGCCTCAAAAATCTTTGCAAAAGGATAATGACCACTGTACTGTTCCACTAAACCTCTCATTCTCAGAAGCTACTGTAACAGAACAGTGGCAAGAGTGCCAAGTAGTCACTCTACAAATACCTGAAAAACCCCCTCACTAACATTAAGAAAGATTGACTGATTGCTGATCTAATGTCCCATGGTCATGGATAATTTGGGTGGGGAACCTCTCCTGCAGTCCTAACAGGCTTTGTCTGTTACTAGCACAGGTTGGGTGTTCCCACTGTTTTTTTTCTAGTGGAAGCAAATAAGCAAGGAGATTAACCAAAGGATCTATCAATATAGAACCCAGCAGCCCTGCTAGACCTACAGTTTGACCATAGGGAAATAAGCCTTACGAGATGGGGGGAAAAAAAAGTTTACTTTCCTGCAAATGTAAATCATGTACAACTTCAGGCAGGAAAACCCTGTCAGGAAGGAACACTTTCATTCTTCTACATCAGAAGACCTACCAGGGAAGACCCTTTCATTGAAAGTGGTCACAAAACCAGATTCCTAGCAGCTCAAAACACTATTCTATCAACATGATAACAACTAAGCTCCTGTCCCATGGGGGATCATTTCCTTGAGCACCAAGTGGACTATTAGTAGATACTTAATAAATTTTAGAGGTATGGACTGTGCAGACTATAGTTCAGCAATAGACTGAACAGGCCCTCAAGTCTAAACTGCTTTGGCAACACTGGCAGTGAAAAAACACAATGAATAACCATGAAGAACAAAGTTAGACAAAAAAACTCTAATATGGGAATTAAGAATGTATCTTGTAGGCAAGAGCAAGCATTTCCTTGCTTACAGATGTTAATCTCTGAAGACCTTCAATCCTAGAAGATACTATGTGCTTATCTTAGATCTGCCATTTTAGTTCTCCATAGTAACATGGTTGAGCCCATCACCCAGATTATTCAGAGAAGTATGAAACTAAACTGCTAGCAGGTGAATGTGACACTGAATGCACTATTTCAAAAGATAATTTCTTCTTACAGAGAAGAAGATGTTTTGCCTTGTTTGCCAGTAAATACTGTAGTAGAGATGCTATTTATTTTCTGGACACAGCACCCTTTCCTGCAATTAAGTTTGTCACACAATTTTCATACCACTCAGATTATACTGATATGCAAAATACTCAGTAAAAGAGAAGTCTGGATCATCAGGACATAGTGCTGACAATGTTCTTGACCCAAATTTTCATTTCTCTTGACTAAGATGGATGCAAGAGATGAAACATCAACTACCAAGAGAAAGCAAGGGCTTCTTGCAATTTTACTAGAGTAAAGATAACCTGATACCCCAGTGACAGATTCTGAGAATACATATTTCAAATCTGCAGTTGAAAGAAACGCTTGGTTCTTATGTAAGGTTACATGACAACTACAGGCTTCCAAGACTGCCAAACACTCCCTAACTACACTAATGGTGTATTAATTAGTATTATCCCATCAGTTCTTCCACAGTCTAAAAACAAACTTCTGGAAGGTGTGCTGTTGTGGATACTGAATTCAGGCAGCTATCAACTGATTTCATAAAACTGCATCAGAATGAGACAAACTTGTCCCCATTTAACATGAAGCCCAAGAACAGAAGACTCAGTTATTTCAGGTAAGAGGGGACCTGTGATTATGGCAGCCTATTCAGTAGCCAGTTATTCTGAAGAGACTGGTCAATACGTAGATATGCTATGGGGAAGAGAAGCAAAGCTCTCGATTTTGTCTCTCTGCAAATGTAGAGGGACAGTCCCAGAACACTGAAAGTCATTCTCTCCTAAAATGCCATTGCAGCTGAAAAGCTTGAAACTGGACCAGGAAAGCCTGTTGGAATCTGACTCTGTTAGGCACCATCATTCCCTGTAATTTCCACAGGGTTTGCTAGGTACTGCATCACCTTTTAGTAAATCAGTGTTTGTGGTCACTGTCGACCCTCACCAGGTAGAAAAGGCAATTGATTTCCAGTCTTAGGAAAGACTATTAGGATGACTGTATTTTTAGAACAAAGGGAAAGATTATGGGAAGGCTAACTACTCCCCTGTAACTAAGAAACCAAAAATATTTACAAACCCTTACACAACAAAATAGCTGCATAGTGAGCAACTATCTTGGGTTTTATTTACATTCCAAATGAGGCTCAAGGAAAATTAGCATCACCTCTCACTTTATATTTAGGACAGGAGACATGAGACTAGAACAAGCTCCAAATGTCCTGTTGGATAAAGGAATATAAACTTGAGTTCTTTGGTACACACTTTTTTCTCCTACTCCTTAAAAACAACACACATATTGAATGCATTCAAAAGGAAATTAGAGAACATCCAGAAATATTCCTTGTTCCACACAAATGCAGCTGTAGCATTTAAAGAAAACAGTTATAAACCATCACTTCACAGAGGCTTAGGTTTCCAAGTCAATAACATTGTAAAGTCAGTGATGGAAGAAATACAGGTAGTGTTACACATACCTGCAATAACCCAGTACCTTCTTATTATAAATTATTCATAATAGCTTATAATTTTACCAAACTGACTGTAGATGTTAAAACTTGTAGGTGTTCACTTCAGAAGAGTTGGAGGGAGGGAACACCTTCATGTCCAGCTGAAGATAAGAGGGAAGAAGGACCAAAACTTTGTTCATTTGGGAAGGAGACAGAAGGGGGAAGTGACAGGTGTGAACAGAAGGGTTAAGGACATTGGCCTGTGATACACCTATCTGTAGAAGGCAGGCAGCAGGGTGAGGGACAAAGCAAGCAGTGGAGTTAACTGTCTTTATCCTGTAAGTAGGCAAAATACTTGTAGATCATCTTCTACTTGGAGTTGCTTTTCATTTGGGCAACTCCATCAAGTACATATGCCCTAGATTATCCACTCTCCACCAACTTAAATATCTAAATTTGTTAAATAAAAGTAGCTGAAAAGCTTTTCTTTACCAAGTTACCAGACAAGCTATGAGCAGAGAGACTAGAAGGGGGGGGGGGTTTGTCCTTCCTCTCCCCTCACACACATTCTTGCTAAAGATTCTCACCTCCTGCAACAAGAACTGAATTTTTAAAAGGTAAGGAAGAGAAAAAGTCTCCCTGAACAGGGAACAAAGTACAACTCTGCCACTTTGTCTTGTGGTTGGAACTATTCTAGCATCTCCCCTCAGTACCAAGATACCTCTAATTTCCTAGAGATTCATTATTGTTTGGTTTGTTGTTGGTTTTTTTTTAATGGTTGTGATTAGCAATGAATATACAATAATTTATATTGTTGTATCCTGATACAAAACAAAGAAGAAGGAATAACCACACTGCTCAAATATTCTGGGATGATAGCTTACATAGTCATTATATGACTGTAGCATTTCAAAATCTGATATTAAAGAAATTGAGAACTTGATCACACAAAGCTTTTTAATCTTTGATTTAGATCATACCTTTCTCTTGCAA